GAGAGGGAGGAGAGGAGAGATTGGAGATAGTAGCTTGACAAGAGCTAGGAGTTGATAATGGGAAATGTAGAAAATGTGGTTAAATAAGTAAAGCAAAACTAAATTATGGAGAACCTTCAAAGTCAGGCAGTGGAATTTAGCCTTGCTCTGGGAAGTGGAAAGTTCCTGGAGGGTTTCAAATCATATTGCAACAGAGTGTGGTCCCTATGTTTACAAAGCCCAATGCAAGTCACTGTTGGGATCTGGTAACTACCATCCAAAAATGATGAGAACAGCTTAAACAAACATTCCATAGCTTTATTGCTACACTGATAGCCTCTAGCCACCAAGTGTATACTGCCCTCCTTAAATTCTTCATTAATTACTTATAATAGAGATATCAACAATGGCTTTAAACTGCCTAGAGCATGGAAAATTTATTTAAAACAAACAAATATAACTTAACTAACTTAATTTACTTGATAACTCTCTTCATTTATGTTATCATTCGTTAGTTTTTGTTCTTTGCCTACAGATTAGAAAGGAGAAACAAAAACAAGATTTTCAAAAAGATATGACTCATTACCATATAACATTTCTTACAAGTTATTCAGCTGAACATCAAAATTGCCATACATCCCTTTGGATACTAGTGAAACTTTGAAATACAAGAACTAGTTGCATCTATAGATAATTGTATCTTGTCATTTTGTATTAAATATTTTGAATAGATAATGGTGATATAGTTACTCAGTGAAAAAGATGTGATATCCATGACAAATAAAAGTTTCTTAAAAGATAGAGACTGCTATCACCAACATTCAAGGAATTTTTACTTTCTTCCAGGATGATGTTTAGAGAGATGAAAGTATCTAGTTGAGCAATTAAGGCTGCATTAAACCTGATGCTTCATTAGAGGCATTTTCTGCTTTATGGCATTGCCTTACTCTTGGAAAATTTAAGAATTCAAAGTTGCCTTTGTTGATATAACAGGCACTAATTAGATTTTAAAAAATACTTCAATATAAAGACAGCACCACAAATTGTACAACAGCACGATAAAGTTCATTTATGTTATCATTCGTTAGTAATACCTAATGTTTAACATGTGTTTTACAATTTACAAAGCAAAACATATATACTACTTTAAGAACCACTGATGTTTTTGCAGATACAAAAAACCATGACATCCTTAAGGAGCTTAAATAAGAGATGATAGTAAGTTAGAAAATAAATATGTAGAAGAAAGTAACAGCTACCATTTACATGTGCCAGGCCCTACACCATATCTGTCATTTAATCTTCACATCAATAATATCCACCTCACTCTATATATATGAGGATATAAGGATTGAAAGAGCCAACAAAATAAGGTCGGGGACTTTGTCATGGTCATCATCATACTTCCCTATCGTACACAGATGGTCCCTGATAAATATCTGCCAAAGGAATTCACAGGTGTTCAGAGGAAGTTTGAGTACTTGTCTGACTTCAGCTCATGCTCACTCATTTATTCATCCATTCAACAAATACCCACTCAGTACCTAAAATATGCCAGACTCTAAATGCTAGGAATACAGCAGTGAACTAAACAGACCAAAATTTTTGCCTTCATGGGATTTCTAATCTAGTGATCCTAATCAGAACAGTATGTTCCCCCTCAAAATATTCTGCATTTAAAATGTGGGATTCTCAGACAATACAGATTGTTATCTCACAACCTATGAATATAAATTTCTGCCAGTCTCCTTCCAAGTCTATCTCCCATGGTCTCTCAAACCCTGACAATTGGACACAGAAATATGACCTTTTCTACCATAGTAGAGAGTAAGAGCTGTGGGAGAAATGCTTTACCTTTCAGACATCATGTAAGCACATAAGGAGAGGGGAAAGGGAAATCTGAAGGGAGGTGGGATAGATCAAGCTAAATCCAAAGGCAGATTTCCTCCAGACAATGTTGATTAACCTAGAGCAGCGGTTCTCAACCTGTGGGTCGCGACCCATTTGGGGGTCAAACGACCCTTTCACAGGGGTCGCCTAAGACCATCGGAAAATACATAAATAATTACATATTGTTTTTGTGATTAATCACTATGCTTTAATTATGTTCAATTTGTAGCAATGAAATTGGGGGTCACCACAACATGAGGAACTGTATTAAAGGGTCGCGGCATTAGGAATTTGAGAACCACTGACCTAGAGGTACCTCAGGGCCCCTATTTCACTTTAATTTTTGTTGTTGTCGTTGTTAATACCCGGGGATATTTTTTCCATTGGTCTTTAGAGAGAGAGAGAGAGAGGGGGAGGGAGGGAGGGAGAGAGAGAGAAGCATCAATGTAAGAGAGACACATGTTGTCTCCTGCACGTGTCCCCCCAGGGCTGGGATCGAATCTGCAACCCAGTTACATGCCCTTGACTGGGAATCCAACCCTCAACTCTTTGTTTCACAGCCGATGCTCTAACCCAGGGGTGGGCAAACTTTTTGACTCGAGGGCCACAATGGGTTCTTAAACTGGACCGGAGGGCCGGAATAAAAGCATGGATGGAGTGTTTGTGTGAACTAATATAAATTCAAAGTAAACATCATTACATAAAAGGGTACGGTCTTTTTTTTTTTTTTTTAGTTTTATTCATTTCAAACGGGCCGGATCCGGCCTGCGAGCCGTAGTTTGCCCACAGCTGCTCTAACCACACTGGCCAGGGTTCCCTTTAATTTTTAATCAGACTTTGAATGAATTGAAATTTAACAACAACAATTAAGTATATTGGGAGTTTTTAATATCCCCTTTACAAATATAAACACTTCAAAGAAGAAGAGAAAATTCTTCCTGTATTTGTCTTTTCCTATATTGGATGGCCTTCAGAAAATCTTATCTGTGCTGTTTATATTCTTTTATTTATTTAGCAAGCACTCACTAGGGACCTGTCTACCAGATAGGAAAGAGACAGTGGCTAAGACATACATAGTCTTTCCCTATGGGCAATCACAGTCCATCACATAATACAGTAGAAGTGGATACAAAGCTTATTCTCCCATGTTATTCAGTCATTATTTACTACCAGTGGCCCAGTGCACGAAATTCATGCTCTCGAGGTGGGGGGTGGTCCCCCAGACTGGTCTGTGCCCTGTCACAATGCGGGAGCCCCACGATCCATCACCCCAAAGAGGTAGGCCCTGCCCATCCACCTGGGGCTCCTCAATGGATTGCCCCAAAGAGGTAGGCTGGAGCAGGGGGACGCCTGCGGACACCCGGGCTGGGCCATGGCGGAGGCCTGAAAAAAAAAGGGCACTGTGGACCTCCACGCGCCTGCAGACCCCCAGCCGAGCCAGTGGTGGAGGGGCCTTTCCACGCGCCTGCGGACCCCTGGCCGGGGCTGTGGCAGAGAGGCCTCTCTGACGCGCTCTGCCCTGCCCCCGTCCCCAACGCTTCAAGTCTCTGCCCACCCACACCTGCTGCACACGCAGCCTGCTGATCGGTTGTTACTGTGATGGCGTCCTGACCAATTTGCATATTACCCTATTATTAGTACAGATGCCCCATCTCTTAAGATTACAAACTTCTTGGGAGGAAAAGACACTTACATTTTTCTATATGTTCATTATTATCTAACATCATTTAAGAGAATATTGAGAGTACATTGTGTTGAAAGTCAAATTAGGCCACGTGATCCAAGGTCATTTACTTTTGTTAATAAAAAAAATACTTACCCTGCAAATCAAGAGGTCCCCGGTTCATATCCGGGTGCCCCCTCCAAATAAAAATAAAAAATACTTACCAAAATTCTTAATTAAAATGGCAAAAAATTCGTGTTTTCAAATGTCTTTTTTAGCATTTTATAGAATTTCACATGATATACTCACTTGCTAGAACCAACGAGTTCTACGCTTCACTGACTATCCTCAATTGACACATGCACATGTATTTTCTTAATCAAACAGAGAAATTCACCCACACCACCAACAAATGGCACAAAAACAGTAAGCCCACATGGAAAAGGGCACTCAAAAATCCTTATGAACTATTTTCCACATGTCTAGCCAAAATCAGGCTTCAATAAACAAAAGAATTACTTAGTTGATTCTTTTAAAACTCCTTAAAAATGAAATTCATATAGCTTTATAATTTTTACTTCTATCTTTAAAAAGCATATTTAAATCCTTAGATTTGACTTTATTTTTCATTTGATCATTTAAATTTTATTTTTAGAAATAAGATAGTAACATCAATTTTCAGCTGGCAAAACTATTAATACATGAACTTTTTAAACATATACCTAGAATAGGCAAGTCTAAAAGTCTTCCTTGCAAAAAAATCTTGCTCTGTTGATAATAAGACTGCAATTTACAAGCCAAAAATCACTGAGGTACATAAGACTTAGAAACAAGAACAGAGAATAATATAGGGAGAAGCAAAAGGTGTTAAAGGGAATCATTCCCTCTATTCAGTGAAGAAATCAGAACTACAATAATGATCTAGACATTTTCTTCAGATTAATTTAAAGACAAAATACTTTTTGGATGCTCAGCAATCTAAGAAACTAAAGTATTCTCAGCTACATTTTTTTCCAGTGGACCAATATATAGAGTGTCCCCAAAAAATATATATACATACTTTGAGTAACTATAAAGGTAGTGTTTATTAAAATACATTTCATTTTCAAAATTGAGCTATCAGCTGTTACAGTGTATATACATTTTGGGGGGATACCCTATAAAATCACCACTTTTAACTAGGATGGAAACACTAATAATTTCACTAAGATACTAGATTTCTATAAATAGCAAAAACAAACAGGGGAGGGCAGAAGCAAGAGAGAAATCAAAATGAAATTATTTCTGACAATTAAACCATAAAGAAATACTGTAGAAAAGAGCCACATTACAGTTCTTTAATCAGCCTGTTGATTTTAAAATGAAGAAAAGAAATTTGGGCCATTTAGTCATCCAATAAGTATTTATGAAATCTACTATATGCTAGGTACTGGGTATACAAAAATAAAGTAGTTCACTGCCTAAAAAAGAAAAAAATATGTAAAGAGATAACTACAGAACAATGTAAATAAATAAGTCAATCAAGTGATGAAGGAGTAGAGAGAAAGGAAGAAATACCTGTGAGAACCTGAGAAAACTTTTTGAAAAAATTATATGTGGGCCATTTCATTAGGGAGAAGTAACATCTATTTTTTAAAAGTAGAGAGGATGTGAGGGGGAAGTAGTGGGGGCAGGGGAACATTCCAGGTAGAAGGAGCAAAGGTATACTTAACAGCTTAAATCATTGAATAACAGGTGAAATAGCAATTTAATGAAAAACAAACAAACAAAAAAACCCACAAACCTTTTCTTTCTAAAAGGACACAAGATCTAGCATCAGAAGAACTGCATTCAAATCCTAGGTCTGGCCGGGTCAGTGTAGCTCAGCTGGTTGAGTGTTGTCCCATGCACCAAGAAGCCACTAGTTTGATTCCAGGTCAGGGCACAAGCCGGGAGTTGCAAACTCGACCTCCACTAGGGGATGTACAGAAGGCAGCCAATCGATGTTTCATTTCATTGATGTTTCTATCTCCCTGTCCCTTCCTCTCCTCCAAAAACTCAACAAAAACATACTTAAAAAGAGAGAGAGAAAAAAAAGAAAATCCTAGTTCTGCTTTTACTAATTATATTTTATTGTCTAAGTCAACCCCTATGACTTCCTTTCATTACCTTAAAGTTGTACCATAAAATGCTTTAAAAGTATTAAAGAATCTTGATACACCTAAATACAAAAATAAATGCTTAGAATACTAAAATTTCAAGATCAAAATATTAGCTTAGAATTTCAATTGAACATATACCATATACAAACAGCCAATCTTTTACAGCCTATAAAAATTTCACAAAAGTAAACACATTCTGAATTATGCAAAAGTTATATTTTCTATATATAATACATCTAATTGTAATCTATACATTCCATAGAATACAAAATAAGCCTACAACATACCCAGAATTAACAAGTGACAAAAGTTTAATGAAACAAGCTTTATACTTAACTGGTCTCACTAATGAGAAATTAAAGCAGCAAATGTACATCTGTGTCTCTGTTCCTTTCATCGTGGTTTAACTGACAGGAAGCAGAGAACAAGATATGGTATACAAATGTCAAGTATTTCCTGCCTTCTCTGCTACATCTTTATGTCTTGTTTTATAAATAGTCCAATAGGTTATACGAAAATGTGTCAACATATGGTGTCAGAAACATACAAATGGTGAAGAGTGTTTATGAAAACAACAAATAAAAAAGATATTTTAAAGTTGGGATCCAAGTTCATAAGGTACACAAAGACTCCAGTTTAATGAAAAAGTGTCCTTAATAGTAAGTACCTTACAAATTAAGACTTGAAAATCATAAAGATTGACTAAAAAAAAAAAAATCTGATGTCTGAA